ACGGAAACATGTGCAACTTTTAATGTAAAACATAAACAGCTCATACCCTACAAATGAGAACTTTCAATGCCGGATGCCGCTGGACTGAATCCTTGTGAAAATGGTTTACTTGCTGTCCACAAGCAGTACAGCTGACTATTCCATGTAGATTCTCATCTAACAAAATAAAAAGTGCAATTTTATTTTTAAGTTGGCTCATTGTTTTATACATTGATAAAATAAGATTTCAAGTACACTATTAAAATTTCAATGCAATCTAACTGGACACAATGCGTTCTTGATAAAAAAGTACAACAAAGCAATTCACTTCTTGTCTCACAGTAAGCATTTTACACCTTTGTCTTGGACAACCTCTACTCAAAAATTAAAAATAAATATCGTGAGGTCCTTTGGTTTCACACAATGCTCAAGCAACCCAAACTGTGCTGTTTATTACAATCCCTTTAGACTGGTAATGCTGTTTTAGATGAAGGGCATAACTCAGTAAGCCATTTTTCTCCTGAAATTTTCTAGACTGCTTTTATTTTGGAGGTGGACAAGAATTTGAGAATGCTATTTTAGTTTTAATTCAGAGTTTACTAAAATAGTGAGGGAGAACCTGCAAACCTGATCTGTCTATCATTGTGTGGTTTTTAATCATCATTGTGAATCCAAAAGGAGCTTATGAAAGGTATTTTTGTTTTTGGTCAGATTGATCTAGGCAGAAGATGTACAATTCTTCTACCATTTTGGGGCAAGTAGCATATCTGGCCTCAGGACACTTCAAAATTAAGTCAGTGTACAGTAAACAGCAGCAAGGCTGAACACTACAAGGTCCCATGTATAATCCCACCATAAAACTAGAGGCCTTGTTTTTCTGGCTTACAGATAAAAAGTTGGACAGAACATTGGGAGAATTCTCCTATTTTTCTTATGAGGCTACAAAGTATTTCAATGACTTAAAAAAGCAGGCACTGGTTTAATCTAAAACACCATATTTTCAACAGGGCAGTAGTGAGCACCATTTGAGATTGCATTCAAAAAAGTGGAGAGTTAACCTGCAATCCTGTGATTCAGATGTAAGAATGCTACTGCCAAGTCAAAACGCAAATAAAAAGAAAATGACTAAAATACTGAACTTGCAAACTATATTAAACTTTAATAGATAAAACCATTAATATCATAAGCAATATTTGAACCTCAATTGAATTTTAAAATCTTTGATGCAAAGGTATGTACAAGTTATCAATGATGGATAAAGAATATTTAAAAATTAGGAAGTGATAAGTCTGCCTTCTTTTACGTCCTCACTGTAGGCATTATCCTGAAGTCAAACAAAATGAAGTAGGTCTAAATTTCTTTAATGACTGCAGCAGATTGATTTCAATACAGAGAAGGGTGAAATCCTCATGGGTGGGTCTATCCTTATTTGGTCTTAATAGTATTTAAAATGGTGCAAGTCTAGGCACAATGGCAGTTCAAAAACATTTAGAGATCCATGTACACAAAGCATACAATCAGGTACAAAACTAAATCAAGGTAACTAATTAAATGTTAGCCTTATAACCAGAAAACTAGAATATAAGAGTGAGGGAAGTTTACAATATCAAGCAAAAGTTAAAGCATATCTGGATTCTATATGCCCCATTTGAGAAAGGGTAGACTTGCTCTTCGAAGATTGAGGGATTACATAGACCAGATTTGCACGGCTCAGAAAAAAGAATATACAGGCGGCTTGACTAAGGTTTTTGGAACTGGAAGAAAATAAAGAATCAAATCAGGGACTTTTCTCACTGACAGCACAGCCTAGAACAAGGACACAAAGACTTAAAATCTGTAGAGGCCTGTCAAAAGTTAGAACATATTTCTTCACACAGAAGGATCGTTGAGATATTGAAATCTCTCCCACAAAAACAAGAGCAGGAGCTAGCTCGATTAATAAATTTTAAATTTGAGGTTGATAGATTTTTGCTAGTTATTACAATGGAGGGAGGTAAAATATAGATCAACTCGTTGAACTGGCCCGAAAGGCTGACATTACAGTTCTCACATTCTTGCCCACATCAAAACCTATGGAATTTTCTTCTATTTATTTGCTATAGTACATTTTATAGGTGCACAATTAGGAAAAATAATTATCAACTAAAACCATGTCTCCTTCAGCACCACACCTGTAAGACTAGTAAATGAAACTAACTAACTGAGGAGAGAAATTTTACAATGCCATAAAGAGTTGGTCAGTTACAAAAGCTCAGCAATATGCCTACCTCCACGTTTCTTCACTGTTTCCATTTTGTTTTTAGGATTTCTGCTTCTAAATTCAGGGCCTCGAAAGTTATCTTTATCTTCATTCCATGCTGGTTCAGGCTGTACAACTATTGTGCCTAAAAGGTGAAAAAGAGTTTTTAAAATTATAGTGTATATACTAAAACGTTTATAAGAGGTGCAAACTCTACTGAAAACAGAGAAACAGTAAACTATAATGTAATCAAGCATAGCCAGCATGGCTTTGTTAAGGGGAAAGTCATGCCTGACAAACTTATTACAATTTTTTGATGGGGTAAAAAACAGGGTAGATAATGGGGAATCAGATGTAATACATTTGGATTTCCAAAAGGCACACAATAAAGGTATCATACATAAAGCTACTTAACATAAGAGCCCATGGTGTTGGAGGTATGTTAACACAGATATTAGATTAGCTAAGTAATAGAAAACAGTCGAGAGAAAAGGGGACATTTTCAGGCTAGCGACCTGTTACTCTTGGAATGCCATTGGGATCAGTGCTGGGACCACACTTAATGAGTTAGCACATTCACTTTCCTTATCTAACAAGTTTGAAGGTAACAAAAATAGATGCAAAGTGTTGAGAATGACGGTCTCTAGGGGTTACAGACAGGTTAAGCAAGTGGTCAAAAACTTGCCTGATGAAATGTGTGAGGTCATGCATTTTGTCACAAGGAATAGAAGAGGTTATTGTTATTTATATCAGGAAAGACAGCAGAAATTGGCAGCATATGGGAATTTGAGTGTCCTTGGCATGAAGCATTAAAAGCTAGCTTCCAAGTTCAGTGGATAATAGGGAAGGCAGATGTTGGCTTTTTATTTCAAAGGGAATGAATTCTAAAAATTGGAGAGCATTGCTAAAACTATACGAGGTACGGTCAGACCATAGTTAGAACAGTGTAATCAGTTCTGGTCCACTTATTTAAGATAGTCGCACAGGTGGCATTCCAAAAGAAGGTTCACGAGGTTGGTCCCAGGTACGGAGGAAAATTTTTGGACAGGTTAAGTAATTTGGGATTGTACTCTTGGGGTATAGGAGAATAAGAGGACACCTCACTGAAACATGAAAAGGTTCTTCAGGTGCTTAACAGGGTTGATATGGAGAGGTTATTTCCTTTTGTGGGAGATCTTAGGATCAAGAGGCATAATCTGAGAGTAAGGATTCACCAATTTCAGATAACGATGAGGAAGAATTTTTTTTCCCCCCAGAGGGTTGCAAACCTGTGGAATTCTTTACTGCAAAGCTATAGAGAATGGGTTATTAAGTATATTCAAAGTTGAGATAAACAAATTTATAATCAGTGAAGGAATCAGGGGTTCTGGGGAAAAGACAGGGAAGTGGAGTTCAAGATTACCATGATCTCACTGAACCATATGACCTTTGTCTGCTCCCAAATCTCAAGAAGGAGCCAATTACTTTGTTAAATATCTTCACTACACTGAACCAGCTCTGTAATGCCACAAAACAGGTACAAACAACAGACTACTTGTTTCACATTTCCCTTCTGGAAAAATATGGCTGGTTTTCATATGTCCATTCAGCCCTGATTCACCACATAGTGAAACTGTATTGCACTGCTCCAAAGCACATAATAATTCACACAAAACATGCTCACTAGACCAGAATAAGCGGTACATCAAACAAAACGTTTTTTGTGCGCACGTTATGAGTTTGTCTTCAGAGTAACTAATCATTCCAACATGATAGTTGCATTACAACTGGCATTACATGGTTTCTTACAGTAGCGTAAAATAGCAGATAATAACACACAGCAGTGTTCTACGACTATCAGAGCCAGCTATTATTCATTTATTGGATTAACATTTTATGAAGGTATATCTAACAAAATTATTTTTAAAATCAGGTCATGTTTATAGGCAATTACAAAAATGCAGATCTATATTTAGCAGCTTTGCCAAACGTTTAAAAGAAATTTGTGGAACTAAGTCTACTTAACCTACCTTTAGGCAGACTATTCACATCCAAGTCATTTGTATCCTCAGTTTTTGAAGTCAATTTTTCACAATCGGAGGTATTCTCATTTGAAGTTTCATCATCCGATACAACGTGTTTTGTCACAAAGGAGGGCTTCCTAATAAAACCCAAGTAAGTTGCATTCAAGATCTGTAAAACTTTTCAGTGTAATCAGCAACATAACAGCATCATGGGTCACATTACATTCTGGCAATACATTATTTTGTTTCATGAGTGTTCTAGCATTTACAAGCAAGTTGAACTACCAGTAACCTTAAATATTTTCTTTAGTAATTCCTCTCATCACCATCCAACATTTTTCTTTCCAACACCCTTGTCGATGCTAAACTGCTGGATCACGGCTTCACAGAGTTAAGTGTTCTTGCATCAACTCAGACAATGTGTCACTGAATGCATCACATTTAAGCTGAATGTCTTCATAGTGGAGATGAAAGTATTCAACAAACAATTTTCAGAGAGGCTGAGTGGTTGGTCCTGAACTCATTACAATTTACAAGAATGAGAGGCAATCTTACGTAAACACAAGCTTCTGGAGGGGAGGGGCTTGACAGGGTAAATGAGGGGAGACTGTTTCCCCTTGTGGGAGAGTCTATGGTCAAGGGGCATTAGCTTAGAATAAGGAGTGGTCAATATAAGGCAGAAATAAAAAAGGAATTTCTTCTGTCAGAGAGTATTGAATCGGTGGAATTCTTTACTACAGAAGGCTGTAGAGGTTAGATTGCTAAGTATATTCAAGGTTGAGATAGACAGATTTTTAATCAGTGAGGAAACCGAGGGTTATGGGGAAAAGGCATGAAACTGGAGTCAAGGATTATCAGATCAGCCATGATCTTATTGAATGGAGGAGTGGACTTGATAGGCTGAATGGTCTTAGGAGTAAAACCCTGGCTAATGTTTCCTTCCTTAACACAAGGGTTATAGCAATAAAGGAAGTCAAGAACAGTAATGCTGTTCAAGTCTGATGCCATAAGATCTAGGTGATCTGTGAACTGCATACATCCAGCTTTGCTACCAATCTCCTGATGCTTCATAAAAACAATGTCATTTTTAAATTTAACAATGCATCACACATCAATTGGTAATTACAGAAGAGTGTTCAAAAGTTCTACCACCCTCTGTATCTAGACGGTTTGCCAATTTCACATCAAAAATGTCCAGTACTGTTTTAGATTACTTTCTTCAGTCCCAGAATTCCCAACAAGCAAAAAGATTTCTCTACATCAACCATATTGGTGCCCTTTCATAGCTTAGAACTTCAATTAAGTCACATCACCTTAACTTTCTAAATTCCCAGGTAAGATCAACTGCAATTTGAGTAATGTCTCCTTTCAAATTAATCCAAGTGAAAATTGACATAGCATGGTTCAAAGACTGATGTGGGAGACATGGATTCTGATTTGTGGGGCACTGGTGACAATATTGGGGACAGAAGAATGTGTACTAATTGGACAGCCTAAACCTGAACAGCACTGGACTGGTATTTTTGCAAGCTGCAAAACTAGGAAAGTAAAAGGGCTTCAAAATTAAGGTGGGGGTGGTGGTGCTGAGTAGGGCATATTGGGGGGGTTGGGCTCTGAAATGTTGTGTTTACCTCAATATTAAGACGAATACAAAGCTAGGTAAAGGCAGAGGGGTAGGACTCCTAATCAACGTATTGTTGCATTGTTAGAGCTGACCTTGGTTCAGGAGATCAGGATGTAGAATATGTTTGAGGGAGATGAGGAATGGTAGATGAAAGAAGTCACTAGTGGGAATGATCTACAAAGTATCCTAACAGCAACTAGTAATGATACCCTACATCAACATTGGTAGTAGCAGCCGCCTCAATGAGGAGTTCATAGAATGCTTCCGAAATTGTTTCATAAAGCAACACATTCTGGAGCTAACCAGAGGGTTGATTAGTTATTGTCTGATGTGACAAGAATAATGAAGGATCTCAACAGCAAGAGACACCTCTAGGTAGCATGCAATTATAATATGATTATGTCTTATACTAAATTTGAAAGGGTGGGTCTAAAATTGACATCTTATAGGACAACTATGTGGACATGAAAGCCAAGTTAGCTGAAGTGCACTGGATATTATGTTATGAGATAGATCAGTAGAGAGGCAGTGACAGATATTTAAAGGGATATTTCAGAATATTCAGAACAAGTATATCTCAAATTATGAAGAAAATATTCTAAGGCCTGTGATCAGTGGTGTGCCGCAAGGATCAGTGCTGTGTCCACTGTTATTTTTGTCATTTATAGCAAATGATTTGGATGTGAATATAGGAGGTATAGTTAGTAAGTTTGCAGATGACACCAAAAATTGGTGAAGTGGACAGTGAAAGAGATTGTCTGAGAGTACAACAGGACCTTGATCAGATAGACCAATGGGCCAAGGAGTGGCAGATGTAGTTTAATTTAGATAAAAGCGAGATGTTGCATTTTGGAAAGGCAAATCAGGGCAGGACTTATACACTTAATGGTAGGGTCCTGGGGAGTGTTGCTGAACAAAGAGACCTTGGGGTGCAGGTTCATAGTTCTTGTGGTTGGTTGGCTCGCCAAGCTGGTTCGTTGTTCCTCAGATGTTTCATTACCCTGCTGGGTAACATCATCAGCGCAGCCTCTGATGAAACACTGTTGTGTTTTCCTGCCTGTCATCCGTTGAGCTGAATTACCTCACTTCTGGTTTTCCTTCACAATGGAGTGTACATGGGGTCTAGCTCAGTCTGTTCATTGCTGGCTTTCTTCGTGGAGAACCAGGCCTCTAAGAATTCCCGTGCTAGTCTCTGCTTCGCCTGTCCCAGGATCTTGGTGTTGTCCCAATCGAATTGGTGGTTTTCCTCATCCATGTGGATGGACAGGAGTGAGTATTGGTTGTGTCTTTTTGTTGCCAGTTGATTTTCGTGTACTCCTGTGGTTAATTTCCAATGCAATGTTTGTTGCAGTCTTTGCAGGGAATCTTGTATATGACGTTGGTCCTGTCCATAGCGGGTAGTGGGTCTTTGGTTTGGGTGAGCACTTGGCATAGGGTTGATGTGTGTTTGTGTGCCACTCTGATGCCCAGTGGTCATAGGAGTCTTGTGGTCAGTTCAGATGTGTTTTTGACGTAAGGTAGCATGATGAGTGTGTTGGGGCGTGCAATAGGCATCTTCTGACCCAGTTTTTCGGGTATCCATTGTCTCTGAATACTTGCAAGAGGTACTCTTCTTCTTTTTGGCGTAGTTCCGTGCTGCTGCAGTGTGTTGTTCCCAGTTTAAATATATGTTCTCATGCAACTTCGCTTGTGCCTATTAGGGTGGTTGCTGTTGACATTCAGTATTTGGTCAGTGCGTGTGACTTTCTTGTGTACCTGTGTTAGGAAGTTCCCCCATTGGTCCTGCGTAGAGTTGTTTTGGGAAAACTACGCCAAACGACAGAGCGCGACCTGGAAACAACTTTACTTCCTACATGGATGCCTCAAGGAACCAGGTATTCCCACGCAGTGTGAGATACATACCTCCCCATCAACAACCCATAAGCTCATAAGACAGCAGTATACAACAGCCACAGGACGATAAAGGTAATGAGCAGCGATGCACACAACTGGCTCCACTGATATGATAGAAATTAAGTGCCAAAAAACTTAGTTCCTAGAAGCTACCAACCAAGACTGGACAACGGATCGAGAATGAACCATCAACATCAGTCAACAGACCGCAAGAGCCAGGAAACGACAGATCCTTCAGGAAAAACTGGCCAAACTAACCCACTAAAATGACAACAGAGCAGACACCTGGATAAGAAACCTTTCAGACAGGAAACTGACAGACACAGAGAAAGCGGTCCTAACTCGCGGACTCAGCTACAACCACAGAGACACCAACAAGACAGAATTCCTAGCCACACTAAAGACCAACGGCATCAATGAAGAAACACAAGGCATAAGACAGACAGTGATTCTGACATTGACCAGAAAAAGCGAACTTAACACTCTCAACACAGCAGAAAGGAAGGCCTTAACAGGACTGAAAAAGGACAAAACATCACAATACTACCAGCATACAAAGGGCACATGATGGTAATACTAAACAAATGGGACTACCTCTCCAAGGCACAAACGCTACTAGCCGATGAGAACACATACCAGCAAGTGCAGATAGACCCGACACCACAACTGGGCAACACGATTCTCAACACATTAAAAGAGACTCAAACAGACCGAACAATTCAACAAAACAGACTACCTAACGTGAAACCTGGAGGAACTAACGCTCCCAGATTCTACAGCCTCCTGAAGGTACACAAACTGGAAGTACCCCTCAGAGCCATTGTCTCCCTGCCAGGCATGCCATCACATAGATTAGCCAAAGAGTTACAAAGGAAACTAAAGCAACTCGTCAGGAAGTCACCCCACTCAACCCAAGAGTTCCTCAATTCTATGAAGGCCATAAGAATAGACGATGACGAGATCATGGTATCATTCGACGTTACCGCCCTCTTCACATTGATATACATACCAGTAGCAAGAGAAACACTGGCAACAATAATAAAACAAGAACAAGACCCCAGTGACATTATCTCCACAGACAACATGAAGCAGCTACTGGACCTATGCCTCACCACCTACTTCACCTTTAACAGCCAAATATATTAAGAAATCAACAAGACACCCGTGGGATCACCTATCTCCGGACTAATAGCTGAAGCTGTGATGCAGAGACTTGAAAGCATGGCCTTTCCGCTAATCCAACCAAAACTATGGATATGCTACACGTGGGCAACACCTTCATCATTATTAAACAGACCAAACTAGAGGAGATACACTAACTAATAAACAACACCCTGTCTGGGATCAGATTCACCAAAGAGGAAAAGAACAAGGAGCTCCCATTCCTGGACGTCATGGTGGAACGCAGGAACAATAGGGAATTCTAACAAAGCCACACAGGACAGCCATACACACTGACCAAGTACTGAATTTCAACAGCAACCACCCTAACACACACAAACGAAGTTGCGTGAGAACATTATTTAAACAGGCAACAACACACTACAGCAGCACAGAACTACGCCAAAAAGAAGAAAAGTATTCAAAGACAACAGATACCGGAAAAACTGGGTCAGAAGA